GCAGGGCCTTCTTACCTTCATGCAGATCAACATTCCCACCCAAGCTGGTGTCATCTGTAGACTGACTGAGGATACATTCTATCCCCTCATCCAGATCATTGCTAAGAAATATTAAAGAGAATTGCAAAATACATTTTCTTCAAAGAAAGCAGCAGGTTTTCTTTCCAGGAAAGAAGTATCACCAGATCTGAGATGAGAGAGAGAGCATTATCAAAGCAACCATCTGACTCACTGCATCGAATGCTCCTGGCCAGCCTTCCACTGAGGTCAGCACTCTTAAGCTGGATGCAGTTTTGCTGGTAGGATGTGGTCTGCTACAGTGCTATAGAAGTAGTTGTGGGTTGCTCTGCATTGTTCTGCTTTTAGGAAATAAAGCCATAAAGCATAACTGTCTGGAAGTCAAAAGAATTTCAGTGACTTAAAATTTCTGAGAAAATAGTCCTCACAGTTAGTAATTGGATAAAAAAATGGGTAGCGTTAGCAGAGCTCCTATTCAGTTCAAAATTACTGGATTCAGCAATCTATATTTGTCAAAGTCTTAAAAACTGTGGACAGGAAAAAATGGTGAAGGATGAGGTGAGAAAAGAAATTCAGTTAGTCGACCTTCATGGAAGTTGCAAGAAATCTTTTTAGAGTTAAACCATAATTCTCAATAATAAATGTGTTATGGAATTGTTTTAAAGGAGAAGGCAATGAATCTCCTACACTTCAGTTGCAAACAAGTCTTACTGACTGAGGTTACATGGCATCTGAAAAACGTGCAATCTTGATGTGTGGTGGATAGCACGTGTGACACTCAAGGGTGTCCTTAAATTCAAGGCTGAAAGCTGGTATTTCCTTCCTTTATATATAGAGGTACTGCAATAGCCTCCAGTGGGTGGATCCTTTCCAGGAATATTTTGACAACGTATCATGCTTGCTCCTTTCTCTTCCCTAGAGATTCTGAAATGTCTTTCAACAGTTACTGTATTGATTCCTTTTCATCCCTATTCTAAGCAACAAGTTGAACAACACCAGTTTTTTTTCATTGCTTGGTGGTACTTCATTGCACCTCTGCACAGGCAAGGAAGGAATAGCAGGCTGGAAATGATGAATTTTAATATGTGTGTTGGGACAGCACTAAGGGGGTTTCTAAGCAGAGGGACAGACAAACCTGATGTAATTCGGGGCTGGTGGGAGCAAAAGTAATTTCAAGCAAAAATTGGGCAAGATTTGAAACACTATTGATGACAAGGTGAATTTCAAAGGGATTGCTATATTTTCTTAAACATACTTCACAGTATGATGTGTGTGTTCAGCTCCTCAAATATGTTTAATATGTATTCCTAATTGTGTTTTGTTATTATTTAAGGAACAGGGAGAATCCAAGCTTTTGCTAGCAATCAGCAAGGATACTTTTACTTAGGGTCTTAGTCACTTTATGTTGTCTGTGCTGTTGCTACTAAGATGCTGCTGTGATCTGAGGTAGTTAATTCAGAGCTATGCTAGTATTATCTGCATGAGCTTTCAGCATAACTGGACTATAAGGAAGGTGAACCTTCATTTTTCAGGATACATTACTGTCTTGAGCTCTGAGATCTGTTTTGTTGCACTTTATTTGATTTGGCACAATAATTCAACAACTTTAAGTCCTAACGTAGTGCCTGTCATGCATTTTTCTAGTAAAGAATCTGATGGCAAATGAGGACTTCAAAAGGGATGAAAGGAATGCTATTCCTAACTGGGATTTTCTGCACGTAAACGGCAGCTGTTTCCTGCTGGAAAGGAGAAAAGGGGCCAGGCAGCTTGCCCATACTCCCAAAGATGGCAAATGACAGAAGGTGCAGAAAACCCTCCCCATTTTTGCTGTGAAAATTTCCATTCAAATGTATCTATTTTAAGAGAGCAGCTCCCCCTTGGTACAGCCTTATATGGCAGATCTGGCCATCCTGCTTCACTATAACTCTCCCCCTAATGTGGGAACACTCAGTGTGGTGTAGGCTTTCTCAGCATTCATATTTATGGATAGCAACTTCCTAGCTGTTCATGAAGAGCTTAAAAAATGTAAAGCAATGGTAGAAGCTAACTCATGTGAAGTAGTAAGGCTTTATTTCTGTAGCGCTTGTCTGCAAAGACTCCCTCTGTGCCTACTACAGCTCTCCAGGGATTGTCGTGGTTTATTTTGCACTGGAGTCTGATGGCTTTTCTAAGCTTGATGCCCCAAAATTGCTGTGCTTCTCCTGAATGCAGAGGTATGGTGGGGATGAAAAGCAATTATGCTCTCAATGACAAATGCTACAGTAAATTTGGAAAGAGACCTTTTGGCTCTCAAATACAATGGGACAGAAAAGATAGAGCTGCATTTTGCAGCCCTCTCCTTTCCACACTGTGTGTCTGCGTGTGATGTTTTGTGTATCTGGAATGGAGCTGAAAGTAAGAAGAAATTTTTCTCTCTGTGCTACCTCGTGGTTTTGCACATATTTCTTTGGGACAGGGGTTTGGTCTGTGAGAGGCTCAGCTGTGGTACCTAACTCAGAACAGAAAAGCTTTATTTCAGTTCCAGGAGCAGCATCATGAAACTGCCTCTGGGACTAATGGTGCTCTTTGCTTTATGTACCCCAGGGCTGGGAGAAAGAAGCTTGGCAGGAGAGGCAGCAGGCTGTTTGGCCTGGTTTGTTTTATATTCCCACTGCACAGTACCTTCCAGTTTGTGAGGTTAGTTAAAATAAATCAACTGTAAGCAAGTTGCTGCATTTTTAGATGCATATAAGATTCCAGTAGCATTTAATGTATATTTTTATTTTTTAATGTACCATAAATAAATGATATTGAAAACATGTGAAGGAAATCAAACACTATGTCATAATAGCATGACAGGGCTCATATTTTGAATGAAGATTTTGCTGTACCTAGATATAATGTGTAAGCCCCATGGATCTGTGTCCTGACTCATTTTCCTCTCACTACACAATCTATAAAGACTCATTGATGCTTCAGATCTTTTCAATGACATATCCAATACTTTTCCGCTAAAGCAGTATTAGAAAAAAAAATTGAGAGAAAGTTACCTTCCCAAGAAATTTTTCACCATATAGACATATAAAGCAGGGGCAGTGAATAAAAGCAGAAAAAATCTCCCAATCAGTCAAGGTAGGAAGAACACAGAGGGTCCCTTGGCTATTGATCAGACATGACAGGAATGAAGGCTTCTTTGATCAGCTATGGTATGAATCCTGGACAAATTAGTGTCACCAGGGAATCAACTGTGCTCCGGTGAAGGACAGTCTGAGAGTGTCATCCCAGCCTTGGAAGGTCTGGTCCTTATTCTGATCCCAGGGGCCTTTTCTCCCACAAGAAAAGCCAGATGTGTAGACTTATGATGTAAACTGATTCCCATATTGTCCTAAGGGCCCAACCAAAAACTTTGAAGTTCTCTACATGAGAAGAAATTTGGACTTGGTCACTTATTTTTATTAATAAATGAGAACATAAATTGTTAAGCATCCTTGAAGGGCAAATCTATTTCTAGAGTGCTTTCCCCTGTGTAGCATTAGATCTCTGTACTTTACAAATACTGTGCTTTTAAATATATATATATTATTTTTTTTAAATTTTTTTTTTTCCCTGCAGGAAACATTAAGATATGAGGGTTATTAATTTTCTTAATGCCCCAGCTCCCCTGGCATTGTATTTATATTGGATCTTCATTTGTGCCTGCATATTACTGTGTTTATTCAGCTGTCCTTCAGCTTCTTTCTTTCTGAGACCACTTAAGGGCTGATTTCAAACCTGCTTCTCCATCTATGGACCCTTTTGTATAAGTTTGTCTGCTCCCATTGTTCGAAAGTACTTCCTGCCAGATGGTCCCACATTTTAATGCGTTCCCAAATCTTGTGGCACATTTTAATGCATTCCCAAGTCTTGTGAAACAGAAAAGCCCTCAGCCAGTTTCTCAAAAAAAGGAACCTTAGGAATTGTTTGTCAAATGTAAAGGTTTTCTTTAGAATAAGCTTGTACCTTTATAAACCCAAGTTCTGAGGTCATTCCCTAATTTTAGTTGTTGTGTTGTTTTTCTGTTTGTTTTTTAAAATGTAGGGTATTTTGATTTAGAGATAAAATGCATGCAAAATGGACTAGTTATTATTTTGAAACATCTTGATTGCACAGCTTAATCAATTTTTTACTGGCTTTACAAACATTTATGTTTATCATGTAAAGGCAGGGCAAGTGAGCCAATTAACTTTTCCTTTGATTAACACTCTGCATATTGCAGGTGACAGGAAAATGGTTTAATATATCAGATGGAAATATAAGAACCTTAATATGATTTTCATATGCTGCTTTTCAATATCCTGGCTTTCATTTTTACAATCAATGCTCTAGTAAGGGGAAGAAATGTGTGTAGAACAGAATGCCATTGATAGGTAATCCAGTTAGCATGACTTGAGTTTGCTTCCAGTACCATGGTCACCTACGAATCTCCTTGAGATACATGACTTTATTGATTAATGTGTCTTTTTAAAAGGAAACAATTTCCTGGGTTTATGTCCACCTCCTATTGCTTTAGAAAATTTGCTTAAAATCAAGAGAAGCAAAGTATGCAAGCAAGGTGAATTACATTGAAATTTTAGCATATTTGGACTTGTTTTTACCTCTGCAGATAAGGAATACATAAAAACAACTTCCTTTATTAGTAAAAACAAGCTCTGAGGAGTTGGTTCCCTTCAGCAGTCAGCTGGTGGCAGCAGCAGAGTTTAGGGTTATATGCACAAAATCATAATAGCCAGAGACCTTAAAATCTTTGGGAGAAGGTAGTGGTTTTACAGTTTCTGCTGCCACTTTCCCTTCTGTTTACTCTTCTGTGTTTCCTCCTGCAGAATTCACTCCAGCCTTACCTGAAGGAGAGGCATTTTGGCTCTGCCTACGCTATTGAGCCTCCAACCTCTGCAGACTGGAAATTTTGCTGTTACATTGCCATTAGCAAATAGTTGTGGTATCTCTTTGCTTTAGCAAACTGGAAAATGGAGATGAAGAGAAATGCAACAAAGCTGCTGTGGCTGTTCCTGTTATTCTCTGATACAGTGACATTCAGCTATGAGAAATCAATGAGAGAGCGAGCTATCGAGCTGATGCAGGATGCACGTTTAATAGATGGGTATATAAATAAGTTCAACTCAATCTTTGTGAGTCTTGACAAGTGAGAAGGAGATGATAAAATGTGTTTGGATTAGAGGCATAGGTTGTTACTAGTACATTGCAATTAGTTACTGTTTCAGTGATCTATTCACTAGGATTTTTAGTTCAGAGGGTGCTTACTGTAGGATCAGGTTATTCTAAAGGCCTTTGTGATTTCCCAGTCAGGTTAATTAGTGTTTCCCTTTACATAATATCCTTGTATCTTTCCTGTAATGTAATGGCATTTTTCATTAGCAAATGCTTCTGTGCAGAGCTAGAAAGCAGACATCATACCTTGACAGGGTACCTTTACAACTTGAAGGCATGGTGTCTGAGGTGAGTGTATTTTGATCTGGGAACACCAACATGGATTATTCTAGCACAGGCAGCACAGATTATTCTACCACAAGTTCTTGCTTCTTGAGGAGTGTGGAGACTGATTTAAGTTCTTCCATTCCTTCACAAATGATAGAGAGAAAAATAGATACAGAAAATGCAACAGCTATAGAACTGGGAGAAGGAAAATGTATCTTGCTGTCCTAATTAAGAAACAAAGCTTGTTTGCAACAGAAGGGAGAATTTTAAGCATCTGTTATTGCAAGTATTATTGGCAGTTAATGATTTGAGGAATTATGAACTGTGGAAGAAATTATGTTTGGGTTAGAAGGGGAGAAAATTATTTATATCACAAGATCTCTTTGTTTTCAATTTTAGCCACAATGACTTTGCACTGCGGCTGAGAATATTTTACCGAAATAGACTCAGTAGAGTCAACTTAAGAGAACTCAACATGACCCACACAAACCTTGTGAAACTTCAGGCTGGCTATGTGGGAGCTCAGGTATGTACTGCCATGGTTGAGTCTGAACATATTTTTACATTTGCCTCCTTCCTAATCACCACAGTTCTCCTGGCCTTGGTAACAGCTTTTTCTGTCGAAATAGAAAAGCCTCGGACACTTTTCCATAACATTTTTGTTTCCAAAGTTTGTGTTTTATAACTCAGATACCCTTAAAAAAACAGTGGCAATTGTTTAATGGTAAATTCAGCTTACACCTGCTTTCCTGTGTGTGCTGTGGGGCAGCTGAGTGTGTCAGTTTAATCATGTCTGGAGTGATGCTCTTGCCTTGCATTGTAACTCTTCCTTTTTGGGGAAAAGCTAGAGTGGCAGCTCCTTGTAAACTGCAGAAAATTATTTCTATCTGTGCTCATAAGCTTCAGTATTAGCAAATGGAATTTTCCAATTTGAAACACAAGTTATCTAGTTTACTTGTCAATGTCTCTTTCAGTTTTGGTCAGTGTATGTTCTTTGCAGCGCTCAGAACAAAGATGCTGTGCGTCTGACCTTAGAGCAAATTGATGTTGTCAAGAGGATGTGTAACAGCTATGAAGAGCTAGAACTTGTGACAACTTCCCAAGGTGATGCTTTCTTGTAACAGATTTTATTTAAATAGGATTTCAGGAGGTATGTGCAGAAGAGCTGCCAGCAGCCAAATTACCCTAGTTCAAAGAATAAACTTCAGTTTTCCACTGAACCCCAGTAAGTGATTCTGTGCACAGTCCTGGGCCTCTGCAGTCATGAGAAAATTTGCCATGTAAACATGCATTAGTATAAATTCCTGTCCTATGAACATGTTAGTATTATTGCTTGCAATTTGCAATAACAAATATGATTCAGTAATGCAGACTTCATATTAGTAATGAAATTACTTTGGAATTATCTTCCTTTGCTATTTCAGGTATCTCTGGCAGTAGCAGGATTGCATGTTTGATGGGAATAGAAGGTGGTCACTCCATTGACAGCAGTTTGGCAACGCTGAGGATGTATTATGACCTGGGTGTTCGTTACATGACTCTAACACATTCCTGCAATTCACCTTGGTAACTATTGTGCATGATTTTTTGTGACCATCTAATGCAAAGTGGTGGCAGCTCCAAGATGGGGAAAATATGTATTCAGACACAGAGTTTAACCTGTAAAAGACTTTGAAGCAAGTAAAAAATCATAAGTTTTTGGGGTAAATCACTTGCCATGTGTCAAGTGGGAGACTGGAGGATCTGTTAGGTAGTGCTTGTTGTGCTGACAATTTGGGAAGTTTTTAAACTTTGTAAAACACACAAAGATGGTAAAACAACCACCCCCTTTGCTTTGTTAGGAAAGTTACATAGGGCAAAGAAGGAAATAAAAGAAAGCTACTAAAAATGCACATGATGTAGATAAAAGAGGATAAATGCTATGTAAGAACTTGTCCATCAGTAGCCTTCACCACTATCCTCCCTGGCCAGCTCTGCCCATATGCAACTAAAGAGATGGAGACTTAGTTCATGTATCAGAATGTTAGTGCCTACCCTTTGGATTGGCAAAATTCCTCCTTGTACTGGCTCAAGAAAAAGGGAATTGTGTGCAGAGAAGGCTGTAAAGCAGGCTTCCTGGCTGTCAGTTAACTGACATTTCAGTCTTTGTTCTCTGATGAAAGTTTAATTTTCTGACAAGCATCTCTTTGCTTATGTTGTGTTGCTTCACAAACAAATGGCCCTGAACCTGAAGGCATGTTATCCAGAAAACAGATATGAACATAAAAAGCACTGTGTGAACCAGATGCCTGTTAAATAGCTCTCTATCCCTACATTTGGCTATGTGACATGGTAATATTTTTTATTGTGTGTAGCATAAGAAGTTTCAGTTGCTAATACTGTAGCCTGCACAACAATATGATGTTTCTTCTCCCTCACTCTGCTATTTAAGGTCTGAATCATCATCTAAAGGAATACACAACTTTTATCCTCATGTTATTGGCTTAACTGCATTTGGCCAAGTAAGCATCTCTTTTGAATGCTAACCTAAGCAATCTCTGATGCAACTAACAACTTCTGGCCTTGTCTTTTCAAAAGCAGCTTGTCATTAAAAATTAATTGCTTGAATTTCTTCCTAGCTAGGAGGTGATCAGGGTTCAGTCAAGCCAAATTCCCTATTACATTCCTTAGGGTAAAAAAAGACCCAGATTTAATGATAACAATTGCCTTAGTAAGGATCAGATGTATGGATTAATATGCAGAAGTAGTGGAATGTGAATAAAAGTTCCTATTAATTATTTTAGACTAAGCTTTCTAATTTTGAGCATGTGGTGGTGGTGTGCTAATTAATTTTGGTTGAATTACTACTAAATTGATAGGTAAATAGAAATTCACATTTATAACTAGCTGACAGCTGCAGAATTTATCTGTTTGCATATATCAGATAAATGCTTTCCTTTAAGGAAAATGAATACTGATGCTTGTCTGTAAATCTGTTTTAGGAAGTTGTAAAGGAGATGAATCGCCTGGGCATGCTGGTAGATTTATCTCACACTTCGTATTCCACAGCAAAAGCTGCTCTGAATATCTCAAAAGCACCAGTTATTTTCAGCCATTCTGCAGCATTTTCAATTTGCAATCACTCAAGAAATGTTCCTGATGACATCCTCCAGCAACTGGTGAGTGATACAGGTTTTGGTTTGGGTTTTGTTTGTTTGGTTTTGTCTTTGTGGTTTGTTTTTGGTTTTGTGGGGTTTATTTGGGAGGGGGATTTGATTTAATGGCAATGTATGGCTAGTCTGAGACAAACCTGAGCACTCATTGTGGTGTTTACATTTCATCTTCGCATCTCTGAATTGGATTTATAAGCAAGATCCTTGATCAGCAAGTTACACATATTTGCTTTTAAGACATTTTCTTTGGGTTGTGTTTTGTCTTTGACCACAAAAATGAAGTGTTTGTAAATACTTTGAAATTCTGTTTGAGTTTCTGTTTGGTTTGATGTATTGTTTTTACTACTTCTGCTGATTCAGGCTACATGAGAATATAATGAATCCAGGGTAAAGGACAGATGCAAAGCCTCATGTTGCCATCTGAGGTTTGACTTAGTGTGGTACGCTCACTGATGGATGTAGAAAGATCATATGGGATGTCTGAGAGGTTTGCAGAACATAAGCGTGTCCACTCATCACCTGTATCTTCGTATCTTTCAGAAAAAGAACAAGGGAATTATCATGGTGACTTTTAATGCAGATGTACTGGCCTGTGGCAGAAAAGCTGTTCATGTTTCTACCCTTGCAGGTCTGAAGTTTAATATATTGTAGTTTTTGTGGGTGGCTTTGATGAATTTCCTGCTGTCTGCATAATTTTTGACATTGTGTAATTATACTGTTTGTTTCCTTCCACACCTTACCCCAACTCTAGGCATTTTTGGAGCTAATGTTCATTAAAAAGTAACAAGAGATACAAGGTTTGTAGCTGGAGGACATCACGCTCCCAAATGGAGCCAAGAACCATTAATCCTAAAATAATTGTTACTTTCTGGAAACCAACTTAAACCTTTACAAGTGGAAAACATAGGTGTGTGACTGGTAATGAAAAATTTGTTGGTATAGGTAGGCTGCTTGTTGGGGTTTAATGTCTGTGATGATCATGTCTTTTTGCTCATTTGCATCTCATCAGTGTAGTTGCTATCTCGAAGATTGCTGCCTTATGTGCTTAACATATAACAACTTATTAGGCATCAGTAAATTATCAAATCTCAGCTGTATTATTACATTTTAACCTGTTTTGTCAGAATGTCTTTTTAAAAAATATTTTATTAAGAATCCATGATTAAGCAGAACAGTTGCCTGGTGCCAATATGTGTGAACTGTATTATTTCTTCTTGTTGGATGGTTAGACATTTTTCTTTCATTTTCTTTCAGATCATTTTGATCATATAAAGAAAATTGCAGGTTCAGAATCGATTGGAATTGGTGGTGACTACGATGGAGTGGATCGGTTAGTAAAGTTGTGCACACATTGGCATCTGTTCTTTAAGCTATGAAGATTTTTACTCCTGTTGGGGAAAAAAAGGAAGGCAGACTAGAAGACTTGTGGCAAACTTTTTTGTGATGAGTACTAAAACAAGTTTTATGAAATGGTCACCACGATGGCTTTTCAGAACTGTCTGAAGCTGTGCTACAAATGTAGAAATGCCCTGTGACATCTGCAGTTTGTGTTGTAGGCAGTGATTTGCTCATACAGTGACAGCAGCGGTAGAGGTGCTGTCCTCCAGAAGCCCAAGATGAATGACTGAAAAGCTGCAGCAATCATTAGATGGTAAATGGGCTAGCTCAGGGAGTTGCTGCTCTCTACTCCTATTGCTTTCTATTCAGAAAAGACTGAAGTGTTTTGGGGCTGTGATACCACTCCTGCTTTTGGGGCTTGGAAAACAAGCAGAGCATGGGGAACAGTCCACAACATAACCTCTCCTGCTCACTTCTGGGCTGGTGTTGCTCCAGCCTAGGAAAGAAATTCAGATTGTGTGGCATTTGCTGGTGTAACTCAAAACCTTTATTAGCTTTTTATCTTTCTGTTGAATCTTCATCTCTTCCTCTTATGAAAGTCCCATTCAGACTCATGTAAAGTAGGACCACAAAGGCAGTGTGTCAGCTCCCATGAGAGTTAGCTTATTATAGCTCTGAAACCATGATATTCAAAACACAAACACAGTTTGCAGTGAAAGGACACATTGAATTGCATGTAGTTTCTCAAAGATCATTAACTGGTGGTGGAGCTCTTAAGGTCTGAAGTCCTGGTAGAAAGTAATGGCACAGATGCCTTGAGGGACATTTATAGAAACAAATCCACAGAAAAGAAAAATAACAGAAAATATTAGTAACTCAAAACCGAACCAAACAAAAAAAACAACTCAGAAACACATTAACACATTTTAAAACAGCTGTTTAATGCAGGTTTTGAGCTTATAATTCCTTTTGATTCTGATAAGAATTAGCACAAGACATAGGCCAATCTTGTTTATTTTAATTTCTTCAGTAGAGGGTTTTGAATAGCTTTGGTTTTGCTGTCTAAACTGCTGAATTTAAAAAAACATTATTATAATAATTGTATTTTACTTGGAAAAAATGACTGTCAACAACAGAGTACACAGAAGTGCCTGCAACTCTTTAGCTCATCATGTGTTTGCAAGGTTCCCTTTTGTTCTCAGTTACACAAGTGGATTGCACCAGGTCCATCTGTGATGCGGCTGTTTCCTTCTCTAAAGGCCAAATATCAAGAGTGGATTAATGTATACATGAGAGGTTTCGGGTCTTTTCTGTTTTAGTATCCCCTATGCTGCTCTTCTGCCTATACACAAGTGAATCTTCATTTTAGAATAGACAGTTCTGTTCTGCTAATGGGATCCTCTGTGTAGAAAAATTTTCCATTCTGTCCCAGTCCAGCTTCTGTTTGCCAGCTGATTTCTTAATTATTTTTTTAACTTCTCAGAGGAAGAACTCTGTCCAAAGTGAGCCCACTCCAAAAGGGAATAGATGCAGAAGACTAATTGAAAATATTTTTCTATGTTTTTTCAGTGACATGTGTTTGAATGTTCTTGTGTGATTCTTGCCAACAGTTTTCCTGAGGGACTGGAAGATGTTTCTAAATACCCTTCTTTGATTGAGGAACTTCTTAGAAGAGGATGGAATGAAACTGAACTAAAAGGGGTCTTAAGGGAGAACTTTCTCCGTGTGTTCAGGGAAGTGGAAAATGTAAGATTAAAAACTAAACTGCATCTTGATTCTTACTAAGAGGGAGAGAGGAACTATTGGTGCCTTGCTGCTTTCTTGCTTTTTTTTTTTTTTTACCACCCCATTTTTTTTTCTCCTCTCAATGAGAGTGCCATGAAGGAATGTAAGCACTTAATGCAATAATTCCAAATGCTGGAGGAAACCAAGATGGCAAGGGAGGGTTAGCAGAATAAAGGAAAGTGAGAGAGGGCAGACAAAGCTCTTTGGAACCTGTTCCCTCTGTGGTAATCTCATAAATACACATCAGTGACTTCTAAATAGAATCACTTCATGGTTTGGAGGAACTGCGGACGTCCCAGCGTCACAGTCTGGCTGTGTGCGCTGGTGCAGTAAGGAATGCTGACTCCTGAAAATCAATTTAATTCTTGTCATGGGATTGGGCTGCTGGCCAAAAAGCTCTTGCCTTGACCAGATCACTAACACGCCATAAATATAACAACTAGATCACAAGGACCTTTTATGTGTGCATGATAGAAGCTAATCCAGAAAGATGATGGAGAGAAGGAGAGTATGAGAGTAAGGACTCCCTAACTGGTAACTTCTTCGAAAGCCTCTGTTGAAACTTGCAACCTTCTTGCATCCTACTGTTTTTATTTACAGACATAAGCAGGTAAATGTTGTGCACAGAGACTTATAGACAACGTATATTTCAGTGTTGTGTTTTTTTTTTCCTTTTGGGGGTATGTTAGATGAACAGAAATCAGAATTTTGTAGTATTCCAGTGAATCTGCCAAAATATCTACCTAATGCTGAGTTGCACATGTGGCAGACTGACATGATGTAGAGGTTGAAATTCATCACACCTAACCAACATGTGAGATTTAGTAATTTATTTTTCCTTCTAAATTAGAGATGTTTGAAGCTCTGTCTTGAGACTGAGCTGACCTCAAGGAAGAAAGCTCACAAGTTAGTTAAGGTTTTCCAGATAAAGAATCCCCATATGTGGCGGGAGCCAAGGCAAAGACCAGCCAGACCTTTGACTCTTGCCTGTCATTTCTGTACTGAATTCTGGGAAGTGTTTCAGAGGGAATGCAAATGTCAGATGCCTTTTGCAACGCAGTTCGAGTTGCTCCACTTGAAATAGCACTGAATTTGCTAGCTGCATAAAGCTTTTTGCTCTTGTGCAAAGTCTGGCTTTCAGGGGCAACCTTTTGAATTTTTCTAGGTGCGGAACATTAGTGGACTAATGGATGTAGGTGAAAGTGAAATTCTGCAAGAAGAAGTACAAAATTCCTGTCGCCTAGACCTAGAAAATTACCAGCTTCAGACAACCAGGTCCTTTGGATTTCCTTCTGTGGCACAACCTTTTAGTCTGACGTTTGTAATTGTATCATATTTAATACTCTATCATGAGTCATAAGATCTATAGAGTCTAGACAGAGATATCTGGAGTAATCTACAATGCAACTAATTATGTTTGGTTTTGTTCATATAAAGCTATGCTAGTTTTAATATGGTTTCTTATAAATTCACCTGCATACTTGAAAATTAACGTAGATTTTAAATGTTTTTGCAAATGCATTTAGGATTTGAACTGATAAATTCTGTTATCTTGGCAAAACCAGGACCAACATAGATAATGGAAAGTAATTAAAGCAAATCAATAAAATCTCTGATATAGGACATGTGGTTTTGGTACCCATATTGTGGCATTTGGTTATAATACTCAAGTGCAGAATCAGCAGTTCCACACAGGAACTGGAGAATATGATCAAGACAGTTGTACTGAGTTATTTTCAGATATTACTTCTTGTTAAATCATTCAGCTTTCTTGAACAGTCAATGGCTTAGAGAAGATGACCTCCAGTATATGTACAATAATAGTATGGTTTTGTTTGGTTTGTGTTGGTTTTTTTGGGGGGCAGGTTGTGTATTTTTAAGATGACAAAATGGAATATATGACTAATGCAATTCAGATTCCATGCCTTACACCAACTTTAGGGATCCACCCTGCAGTACTGAAATCTTATTTTTGAACTCTGACCAGGAAAATGGGCAAGTGGAGAGTTACTGAAAGGTGGAGGTAGGTGTCTTGCAACCACGTACAGGTGACCAGGCAAGAGAGATATTTTTCTAGAATTTCTGGACTGCTGTTTGCTGAATGCTCATGAAGCTGGGAGCAAGACTAAGCCAGGAAAAGCAGGAATTCTGGCTACTCAGAGGGAAAGATCTTGTTCTGTTGTTCTTACTGTAGTCTGAAAAGTAGAAAATTAGTATTTAAATACAATTTTCATTAGAATGTTCCACAGATTTGTTGAAATATTTTTTACATTTAAACAATAATCCTTGTTAATAACAGATTTTCATTATTTTAGCTGGCTAAAATCAGACCATTGTCAAAGGATTCATAGGCATGAGATTAGAAAAATGTATTTTTATTATAAATCTTCTGCTGTTTCAGCCTTTGGAACATGTTTTCAAAGATACAAGGTATGTGAGGTTAGAAGCTACTGTTATACAGAAGAGCATATAGTGTGATAGGCCCATTCTTGGTAGGTTAATGTGGCTCAAACCTGGGATTTCAATAAAATAACCTGAGATTAATGAAGAAAATTTAAGATGGCAACACTACATATTTGTAGGGTCACTTCCTTGTGCTTGCTGGTAAATGCCTTCTTGTGATACTTGCTGTTAATTGAGATTTTTATCCCATGTATGTGCTTTTATTTACTGGTATGGCATCTAAAGAATTTAGCCTTAGTATAAAATAAAAATCCTGTCACTGATGTAAGGGCAGCATTGTAAACACACCAAGTATTTAACAAAGGTAAGGGTAAGCATGGACTGAATGGAAACCAGAAGCTGGCTGTTTTCTAATCACTTGAGACTGTTCCTGCCATCCATTCCTGCATTCCATGTACAACTAAGGTTTCTGGAAGAAAAGTCTTATTAATAAAAAAATGAAGCTTCATTAATTCTTCTGGTGAGGTAGTCTCCTTAATATATATATTCTGAATATACTACTACCACTTACTGAATTCCTTAAAAATCATGTCAAATACTCTTGTTGCATACAAGCCAAACTTTCAGTTTCTCAATAAGTACTGATCCTGGTTGGGCATCTACAATTCCTATAGGGCAGATATTTAGTTTCCATCAGTACTTCTGCTAATAGCTTCATGAGCCATTGGAAAGCTGCCATCCATGGTCTCTTGTCACAGAATCAGTACTGTGATAGTAATTTCCATTACATATTTGAAATGTAAGATACTTACTTATTCCTTCCAGCTTTTTTCATTTCTAATGTGTTGGCACTTTCCTACCTGCTACTTTGTACTTTTTTTTCCTCATACTACAGCATGGATTAAAAATATATTCCTTTTCTTAAATATATGGATAATTTATATTACTTTTCCCACCATACTATAAATAGTTGTAGTTTATTTCCTTGTTTTATGTATAGTGTTTGCACTTAATTGCTTTGTGCAATGAAAAATTTGTAACTTTGGGACGAAACATATACATTAAATTTAAATAAAATGTTTAAAATTGTGTATAGATACTGGTGTAATCTCACAAAACAATGTAAATGTTCAGAACTCCAGGAAGTCCTGAAAGAGCCATACAACTCTGCTGCAGAACGAAGGCTTGGGGTATCATGTGGGCTCTGGGTCTGCTCTTCACTGGGAAGGGAAGCCTCCCCCAAGACAGGCAGGCAGGAGACAGGTAGGCTTAACCCTAGAGCATTCAGGATGTAGGCAGTCACCCTCATCTTCACTCAGATACCAGCCAACCTGTAGAGAAGTCTGAACAAGTACTTATGGAAAAGGAACATGGATGACTCAGTCATTGCAGTGAGACCATGATGACAAGCAGATCACTTGGTCAAGCTAGACAAGTCATAGAGAGCAAGGCTTATGGGGAACTAGACAGGCTGCATGCACCAAGGTTAGGATAACTTTTACTTCACAGATATTAGGAAGAAATTCTTCACAATAAAGGTAGTAAGGCACTGGAATAGGTTGCCCAGGGAGGTTGTTGATGTCTCATCCCTGGAGGTTTTTAAGGCCAGGTTGGATGAGGTTTTGTGCAACCTGGTCTAGTGGTGGGGTTCCCTGCTCACAGCAGATGATCTTTAAGGTCCCTTCCAGCCTTAACAATTCTGTGATTCTATGATTTCTCACAGATCTGTCATAAGCTAAAACTCTCTTTTTCCATTATGAGTTACAATGTTAATTTCGAACACTTCAAACAAGCTGCTTCTGTGAAACCAACATCAGAGTGCAAAATCATCAAGCAAGAAATGAAATCTTGTGTACCACACAATGGTGATGCACATGGTATGTATCTTCTCTGATGTGATTAATTTTTCTTAATCAAAATTACACAGCTTGAACTATGGTAGAAAGGCATCTCATAACTCAATTTCAAAAGAAACTACGTAAGTTGTGGCCGTCTCTGCTGTCAGGAAAACTATAGTGACCCTTCATTCTGAGTGCTAGTGTCTCCAGTCCCACTGACAGCAGCCTGTAGTCATAACAGCCGTAACATTGCATTTCTAACAGTTCAAGTATAAAATGATTGCACTCTTTCTGCCTACCAATTGAGAGGGTGATTCATTCTGAAATGGAATGCCTTTGTCCTGCACCAATTAATAACAGCAGTTTGCATTGATAATTTGAAATGCATGCTGGCTGGACTGACATTCTGTTATGGCAAGTGGTATCAGTCAAGAATCAGATATAATTGAGATACCAACTTTCTGATAAGTTTTGGCTGCCAAATGGAAGAATGCAAGTCATTATTTACCTTTTCTAAAAAATGAGTTGTGCTATGGTGGATTCTGAAAATAGTTATTTCTATCAACATCAAAATTGATGTTCTATAAAGTACTTTAGGCTGATACTCTAAATAAGACCCAAACTTCAAGGCATCTTTAACAGTCCAAGGCTCATGCTTTCACATGTGTGATATGAACAGGCAAAAACTGCAGACAATATTGATGCAGACTATTGATTTGCAAAGGTTGGCGCCAGCACCCTTTCTCCAGTACTATCCTT